CCCACCATACACAGCAGGTAATCAAAGTCCCTGAGCTGGAGAAGTTTAGGGTGGGGGTATGCCAGCCAGGAGGGCTGGGGACCAGGGGACTGCTGGGAGAACCTGCCTGCCAGCATCTGCTTTGATATGTTAAATAGGAACCTCAGCCATTCGTCCTGGTTTGAAACCTAACTGGAGAAAAGCTTTGCTGGTTGGGCAGGGTATGACCTGTTTGGGGACCTGAGCTTGAACCAGCTGGGCCTTCACTTGTAAACTGTCTGCCTTCCGTAGTAATTAGGTGGTGCCTGGGTTTATTGGGAAAGAGCTGGGGGCCAAACTAGGTGCAATGGTGCAGATTGATGATCCAGTATTCAAAAGTCCAAGAAGACACTGGAGAATCTCACATCACAGGCTAGCTTGGGCTCCGTGTTGAGATTTTTTTTTTTTTGGTTTTTCGAGATAGGGTTTCTCTGTGGTTTTGGAACCTGTCCTGGAACTAGCTCTTGTAGACCAGGCTGGTATCAAACTCACAGAGATCCGCCTGCCTCTGCCTCCCAAGTGCTGGGATTAAAGGCGTGAGCCACCACCGCCCGGCTTGAGATTTTTTTTTTTAAACAAAACTTTTTTTAAAAATATTTATTATGTATATAGTATTCTGGGATGTTTGCTTACGTGCCAGAACAGGGCACCAGATCTCATTACAGATGGTTGTGAGCTACCATGTGGTTGCTGGGAATTGAACCCTAGGCCTCTGGAAGAGCAGCCAGTGATCTTAACCTCTGAGCCATCTCCCCAGCCCCCAAACAAGCAAAATTTTAAAAAAGAAAAAGCTGAGCCAGGTGTCGCCTTTAATCCCAGCACTTGGGAGATAGAGGCAGAGGCAGGCGGATCTCTGTGAGACCAGGCCATGCTGGTCTACAAGAGCTAGTTCCAGGACAGGCTCCAAAGAAACCCGTCTCAGAAAAAAAGGAAAAAAAAAAAAAAAACAACTGTGGGCCTCCAGTCTTTTCCCTTATGATGCTGTAAGCAAAATGTGTTGAGTTTTTTTGTTTGTTTGTTGTTTTTTTTTTTTTGGCTGACCTCTAATTCACAGAGATCTGCCTGTCTCTGCCTCCTGAGTGTTGGGATCAAAGGCATGCACCACTACTACCCTGCAGCAAAAGGTGTCTTAATCACCATTTCACAGACTGGGAAACTTGCCCACAGGCACACAGCAGAAGGCTGTAGCAGAAACCAGGGCTGGAGAGGGAACAGTGCCACAGTTATGAGCCACTTTGTAAGGCTTGGAATGTGGACTCCTGTAGTCCCACTTCAACCCCAAGCTGCTTGACCCATTGGTGGGTCTCATAAGGCCTCTTGTTCAAGGGCACCCGAGGCTATCCGGACTCCCTGAGGCGTGGAACACTAGAAAGCGGGGTGGGGGGTGGGGGAGCAGAGTCCAACTTTTCTGGTCCTGTATCTTCCACTAAGACACTTTCAGGGCCCACCAGACTCTCATGTCACCCAGGCTGGTTTTTCAACTCCATATGCAGCCAAGATCTAAATGTTTCTTTTATTTTTACAGCACTTGGGGAGCAAATCCAGGTGCCCATGTATGCTAGGTAAGCACTCCTGCTGCGTCTCTACTGGCCTTGGTCTCCTGAACCTCCTGCCTCCACCTCCTGAGTGCTAAGATTACAGGTGTGCACTACCACACTGGCCTCATCAGGACTTTAAGCATGGCCCATGGCCACCCCAGGCCTGTGGGCAGGTAGGATAGAAACGTGGCTGATAAGCACACAGGTTGGGCTTGATAAGCACACAGGCCAAGCTACTGGACCTGCCTCTGCTGGTTCAGTTTCTGCCTCTGTATAATGGGGCCATTGGTAAAGTAGTTGGGAGGGAGTCAGATAAAAGCAGCAAGGATGATTTGTTACTGTTTTTGTTTATTCCCAGTGTACAGCCTCAGGACCACCTTTGACCACCATCAACCAAACTATGCATGTCTGGGACTCTCCTGGCTCTCTGTCCCGGGCACTGCCCCTTGCCTCCTCAGTCCTGATGCTCCTGATGAGCTGCCTGTGGTTTTTGGGGGCTGGCCCCAGCCTCACATTGGCTCCAGAGCTGCTGCTGGACCCGTGGCAGGGTGAGGACCAGCTGCATGGCCCTTGGAAGCTAGAAACTCTAGGGCCTGAAGCCACTTAGTGGAATCAATGTGCAGCTCGTGATGGTCACAAGAATAGGACGCAGTGTCGCAGGGCAGGTTAGCTTACAGACATGCCCAGTTCGTCCATAGTTGAGAAGGAGGCAGAGAATCCTGTACAGAGGGCAAGGTGGAAAGCTGTGGGTGGGAGTTCTGATAGTGTCCCTTTCTGACAGCTTTCCCTGGAAAGAAGAAGTTAAATTTCTGCCAAACACGTACTTCCCACAAAGCCTCCGGTTTACATCTGAGGAACCCAAATGATGTTCAGAGAGGTTAAGCGATTTTTCTAAGGTCTTGCAGCTCTGTGGGAGTGAGAGGTTTTGGCAGGCAGTTTTCATTAGAACTTGTGCTATTAACCAGATGCAAAAAAAAGATTCAGTAACTGATAAACAGCTTCACTGTGCCTGGGGCATAGCACCACTTGGTAGCTGGTGGCAAGTGAGAAGACTGTGTGTTGGTTCCCTTCAATATACCTAGAGAGTAGCTGTGGTGTTGAGAAGCCTCTGGTCCCATCTACTGGCTTCTGGGTGGGGGAAACTGGCCTACCAGGTCGCCCTAGCAATGGCTAATCCAGCCCTCTAACCTAGCACCCTTCTTATTCTCAGTGCATCGGCTTCTGACCCATGCTCTGGGCCACACCGCACTGCCGGGCCTGCTCCTGAGCCTGCTGCTCCTGCCCACTCTGGGCTGGTGGCAGGAGTGCCATCTAGGCACTCTGCGCTTCCTGCACAACTCCGCCCTGCTTGCCCTGGCTGCTGGGCTGCTGGCTGTGCTGCTGGCAAGCCTCGGGGTGTCCAATGCAGCCGGAGGCTGTGGATATATGCCTGTCCATCTGGCCATGCTGGCAGGGCAGAGTTACTACCCTGGATGGCGTCAGGGGACATTGCCACCATGGCTGCTCCCATGGCTACTGCTGGCCCTGACCCTGCTGCTCAGCTCTGAGCCGCCCTTCCTGCAGCTCCTCTGTGGCCTTCTTGCTGGCCTAGCCTGTATCCTTTGCCTGAGCCCAGGGACCATGTGGACCTGTGGCCAGGCCTCCGGGGTGCCTTGGAAAGAAACGGTGTAAAGAAGTTCAATGTCAGGTGAACACCTGCTCCTGGCACATCTGTGCCATGCTCTGGGCTGGGGACAGGGCTCATGGCCAAGAAGAGGTGTCGGTTACAATCAAAGGACCCCATGGGATGCTTGGAATAGCTGAAGGGACCTGGAAGTCACTAACCTGGATCCTGTGTGAAGGTGGCATCAAAGCAAAGATTAGCAAAGAGGAAGGCTTAGGATGGGAGTGAGTGTGGGACTCTGGGAGCAGAAGGCCAACTTAGGGCTCATAGTACGGGTATCTTTGCTCCCAAAATATGGGAAAATAGCTACCATTTTTGGTGGTGATCATATAACCCTTCAGGCAGTCACAGGGAACCATTTCAGAATCCAGACACCAGCTACTTAAGTCTGGCTGACAGTAGGAGGACCTATCTCAGGTACACAGGGTTATGCAGTAGCCAAGAAAGTGGAAAATAAGGTTTTGGGAAGGCACATATGGTTCTTCCCGGCTGAGTAGTTTCAGGTAGGCAGTTTCCTTTTGTTCTCAGCTTCATCTGCTCATGTGGTCCTGGGGGATGCATCAAGGGGAGTCGCATGGGAATGCCCAGCACACTCTCCTCCCCCCAGTTCAGTTTGATTTTCCTTGACCTGCCGCCCTGCCCTGGGCAGGCAGACGCTGCTGGGGCCTTCCGGTGGCTGGAGCTCTCCGAGCGGAGATTGCAGGTGTTACAGGACAGTGTCCTTTGCAGGACTCTGGCCCAGTGGTGGCCACTGAGGCTCTTTCCCACCCCAGGCAATCTGACTGAACTGCCTGTCACTTATCCTGCTGTAGTGAGGTGAGGGCGATGCCAGGGGCTCAGTATTGGGTGGTGGAAGTTGTGACAGTGGCTGGCAGCCCAGGCCATCCGCCTCTCCCTACAGGCCTGCTACCCCTGGACCTCCTTACCTTGCTTCCCCAAGCTCCTGGTCTCACAGTGATGGTTCTGCCCAGCTTCCACCAGGCGTGGGACCCGTGCAGCCGGCATGGAAGGACTCCGAGAGGAGCCTGAAGTGGGCTGCGTCCAGCTTTGCCCCAGGAACCCCGATGTGGGCAGCCCTAGATGAGCAAATGCTACAGGAAGGGATCCAGGCTTCACTTCTTGATGCGTCAGCTCAGGGTCCTCAGAGCTTGACATGGTTGCCCAAGTCCTCTGGGTCTTCTCTACGGTAAGACAGGGTGGGCAGGGGTGTGTCTTCCCCGTGTGGGAGCCATGCATGCCCTGACATTTCCTCCTTTTCCCCACTGAGCAGGCTGCAGCAGCTAGAGCACATGGGATTCCCCACTGAGCAGGCCGCAGTAGCCTTGGCAGCTACAGGGCGTGTGGAGGGTGCAGTGTCACTGCTGGTTGAAGGGCTGGTAGAAACCGAGGCCGTAGCGACTGAGGGGAGGAGTGGTCCTGCCCACTGCAAGGGCACTGGACCCTCATAATCCAGGAAAAGAGCAGAATCTTCGGCCTGACCTGAGTCCTTGCCCAGTCTGCTGAGGGCATCCCTGAGGGCAGGAGTGGGCCCCAGCATGTTCTAATACTTTCTGAGAATAAAAGCTAATGTTTCCAACCTGGCCTCCTGAGTGGCAGTTGTGTCTGGCTCTTCTGTGTTGGCATGGGGAGGATGAAGGAATGAGTGGAGAAGGAGTGAATGGGTGGCTGGTGGCAGGAGGGTGACTTGTGTCTAGGCCCACAGGCCTCCTGCCCCAGTATCCTCAGCCTAGGTGGACCCTCTAGCTGCAGCATATAGAGACCAAACTGGGTAGGATCAGGCAGGGGCGTTTATTGTCCAGTACATAGCAATCCATGGCATCTGCAGCAGATGCTTGGAGTGGGAGTCCTTTCTATACATCCCATCCCCACATGGAACACTGGGGAGTGGGGATGGGTAGAACTGATTTCAGGAGCACCAACCATTCAGTCAGGGATTAAGCAGCCTGGACTCAGGTAGGAACTCAGCACCAGAAAACAGGGCTCCCCAAGGTCTTAAGGAGGGGAACAGAGACTTCTGCCTCCATCCATGCATGTCTACAGAGCCAGGCAGAGTCTCAGGTCCCTACTTTAGAAGACTGGAAGCCTTGTACCTCCACCCATTCCTCTTTTCACCCTATTCCACAGAGGGAAATAGGTCTGACGTCTTGAGTAGACTTCCTCTCAGGGCCCAGTCCCTGCTTCGTCTGTCATGTACAGGCTGACATCACTGAGACCTGCCTGCCTATCCCTATGGCCAAGATGGCACAGGGGTCCCTGAGGATATTAATAAATAGGAACTGGCGGTCTCTGGAGGCAGCTGGCCAAGTCCAGGCTAGGGGAGGAAGCCTGGTGTGGAACCCTGAAGAGCCACCACCATCCTCAGCTCCTCCTGTCGTGTCTCCTGGGGGTCACGATCTGGTAGTTGGTTGGGTGTCCTCCCCTCTTGCCTCGAAGGAGGCTGGGGGTACCCGTGCCATCAGGGCCTACCCCGGATCCCAGCTCTGGTTCTGCCGGAGGGAATAAAGAGAAAAGCTATATTAGGGGGTGCATTCACATTCATGAAGAGTGGGGGAACCCACTTTGTGCCCTGGGAGGTAGCAGGGTACCCTGGCATCCTAGAGATGGAGCTGTGGGAAATAAGGGTACAGAAGGCTGGTTAGTACTTCCCCACAACCTCTGCGTCCCCAGCCATCTGATGCCTGATTTGTCTAATGGGGATGGCCGGGCTCACCACTTTTACATGCTTGGCATATGAATAATGCTCCCCAAGTAATCAATTTGGATTGATTTGGAGTGAAGGTGAATTCTGCATCATCCAAACTTCATTGCAAGGAAACCAAACTAGAGAAGAAACTCTCTTTCCTTGGATTATAGCACCATTTGGAGGAAGGGCTTAGTAGAGTCAGGCTTTGCCCCGGAGCAGCCTCAGGGAAAATGGACCTGTCTGATTTCTAAAACCAGGGACATTTTCAGATAGACTCTGAGGCCCTAGATGGCATCAGCAAAGCCTGAAGTCAGTTACCAAGGGAGTTGTGGTGAGATAAGCCCAAATCTACATATAAGCTGAACCCCAAGCATGAAACAGCATGCTTGCCCCCCCCCCCCCCCCCCCCCCAGGAAACTAACATCCTTCAAACCCCAGAGGGTGCTCTCTTGTCCAGGAAGCCCAGCCCATGCATATCCTTTGGTAGCCCCTAAAGCCAGGGAGAAGGTCAGGGTAGGCGGTTTTTCTGGTGGGGGAGAGCCTCGGGATGGGGACTTGGCCAGGCCTTTCCTTGTTCCTAGGACAGACAGTGGGACGCTCGATGATGACTGCTTCCCACAGAAGGTGCGGCTTAGGGGTGGGCCACTAATGGGGCCTGGCTTTTCCCAGGTGCCTTGTACATCCTCCAGGGGCTACCAGGAGCTTAGCCAGCTAAGGACGGGGTCACCGCGTCCCTATTCAGCTCCTCTACGCTATCCAGCTGCCCCTTCTGCTGTACCACGCTGAGAGGAGGAGCACCTGGAAATGTGCTGAGAATCTGGAACTTGGGTCTTTGCTCCAAATGGTCCCTCAGGTCATTTGGAGGCAATGAGGGATGAAGGACAGGTGCCAAGAGGCTTCAGGGGAGGGGCTTGCTATGTCTCCATCAAGTCTCATCAAGGCTGCTGAGGCCAAAGGAGGTGTAGCAGATAGTCCCTGATGTTTCTAGAGGTCAGAAAAGCCACACGGCTAACGGTGGGGATTAGAAATGGACCGTGTCAAGCAAAACCTGACAAAGTTTTGCTCAGTAGCCCAGGTCAGCCTCAAATTCGCTATCCTCCTGTCTCAGCCTTCCAGTGCTGAGATCTTAGGCACATAGCCACCATTCTTGGCTTGGACATACACTCCAACCTCCAGATCTTGTCTCACATCAGACTTCCTGACAGAGTTGTCCCTCCACCTCCACCAGACACAACCATGTATCTTCTATGACCCCCTACATGGTCCCCTCTTCCAAGAAGTCACCAATGTCTAGCAAGAAGGGCCCAATCCTTGGGTACTCCCTTTGAGTGTCTAAAGTGACTGACGGACAGCTCCCCAAAGCCCAGCTACTTTGACGGGCATCTCCCCAGAGCCCAGCTACTCCGCAGGGCCCAGTGCCCATCCAGACCTAGCGCCAGTAGGTGCTTCCTGGTTTTGCTGACCAAAGGATTGGTTTTAGCCCCGACCCAACCCTCCTCCTTCACACTTAAGGCCTTTAGGGGAGGTTGGACACAATCTGGAGGCCTCTGGGCAATGATGTGCATGAAGGAACAAAGGACAGCCAATGGGTGGGGCCTCTCGGTGGGCAAACATTCCTGTGAAGGGCCAGCCCCATCTTCCCACACCAAAGCTTCACCCCAGGAGCCAGGTGCAGGGTGGAGGGACTGCCCCTACCCTGAGTCAGAAGCCTAACTGCCTTTCAGGCTGCCTGAACCAGCCTTCTAGAACCTTCCCAGTACAGCTCTGCTTGGTGTTCGTCTTCACCTCTCAGAAATCTCGAGGGAAAAAACTCTGTAGACTTCTTAATCTCTGATTCTCCTCTGCTTGGTCACTCACCTATGATCCTTGCCTTTCTGGGCTCCACTGAAATATCACCTCCAGGAAGCCCTCCTGGACTGTCCCCTCATGGTGACAACTGACTAAGGACTTGTACACACGAGGTAAGTGCTCTACCATGGAGCCATGTCCCCAGCAGGCCAGAGGCATACCTATGCTCACTACTCTTCTTGGCTTTTGCTATCGGTGCCAGCCCCCACCCCCACCCTAAGCTACGCCAGGGCAGGGCTACATCGTTTGGTTATGTTGGAGCCCGGGCCGATAGGTGGCTGCCAGAACACGAAAGCTGGTTCGCTGTGCCAGGTTCTATTTCCTTGATGAAAGGAAGGAGCAATGTCTTCTGGCCCAGACCAAGCACTGGGAGACATCATGCCCAAGCCTGCCTCAGGCCCTTCCTGGGTGGGTTTGCCCCTGCCTGCCCGCCCCGCCATTACCTGGCCAGATGATGGCTTCCAGCAGGGTGACCCGTCTGGCCAGGAGCTCCAGCTGGGCCTGCTGCTGCCGGAAGCTCTGTAAGCTAGGAGCCTGATGGGAGATTGAGAAGAGCAGACGGTGCCGAGTGTGGCCTCTAAGGGCCGGGCTGGGAGCCCAGTGGTGGGGGACACAGAGAGAGGCTGATGGACTTCAGGGCAGGCAGGGGTCTGGACCAGTGTCCATCAAACCTCATTGTACCCCTAGGAGGTGAGGAGAGGGCGTGCCTAGCTCCTCAGGTAGCCAGGTGAACGGGAACTAGGAGGGTGAATGTCAGGCTAAGGATCTGGCTCCCTTGAGCCCTGGTAGGGAGCTTCAGGACACACTAGGACTACAGTGGCAATGTGAAAGGGATACAGGGGCCAGGAAGGTAGGTCCTGTGAAAGTCTCCAGAAATTTATGGGGAAACTGGTCAGAACTGGCAAGTGGTCTATTACCCAGAGTTCTCTGGGTCCTGAGTCTGACTCTGTCACCCACAGTTCCCTGCACTTTTAGAATCTAGCTGCATTGCTCACGACTTGTCAAGAGTTGAAGCCCAAGTGGTTTACAACCTTGATCCATAATTCTGTGGGCTTGGGCTCTGACTGTGTGTGACCCATGACCCCAGTATGGCTAGAGTTTGCTTGTTAACCTTAATGCCTCACTGATCAGAAGTCTGGTTTTCTTTTTTCTCTCTTTCTTTTCCTTCCTTCCTTCCTTCCTTCCTTCCTTCCTTCCTTCCTTCCTTCCTTTCTGAGACAGGGTTTCTCTGTAATGGCCTTGGCTGTCCTGGAACTCACTTGTCGAACAAAACCAGGATGGCCTTGAACTCACAGAGATCCTCCTGGCTCTGACTCTCAAGTGCTGGGATCAAAACCATAGGCCACCACACTTGGCTTAGGAATCTGGTTTCATTGCCCATAACTCCTTGCAAATCTCATCCTCCGCTGTCTCCACGTTCCTGAAGTCCTGTAACTATATCACCCACACTGTCTAGAGAGAGGCACACGGATGGGTTCAGGTGCAGGACCTTCCCCTGTAGAGCAGGAAAGGGTTGGGTAGCCTCTGTAGCCTAAGCTTCTTCAGCTTCAGAACTGGACTCAGGCCAGTTACACCCCAGGACGGTTTGGGGAGGCTGGTAAGCAGGGGCTGGGCTGGCCGGCCGTCTGTCTGTCTCTACTCACCATAAAGCCCAATCATTGTTTCCAAGATTAAAACCCTCTCAGCTAAAATCTTCAAAGCCTCGCGTAGTTGGTGCAACCCCTCCCCCTGTGGAGAAAGAGACAGATGCAGCCGTGATGGAGGGTTGGGAGGGGACCCCACAAAGCCTGCCAGTGGCCCCTGCCCAAATCGGGACAAGCACCTGTAGCCCTGTACCACCTGCCACAGCCCAGGACCCACGGACAGCCAAACAAGACAGAGAGGGACAGGAGGGAGGCAAGGCAGGAGGAAGCGACCCCTGAAGACCCCCTCAGAAAGTTCCACTTGATCCTAACTGGCTGCAGATTGTGCCACTCTGGAGGGCAACTCCTCTGCTTGCCCCACAGGCTGCCATTCATTTGTTCCCAAGGCCCTGGGGAGCCAGCTTGTCCTCTCATCTCCATTCTCATGTCCTCTGCCCAGTTCCTGTGACATCCCTGCCACCATCTGTACGCTGGGGGCTCTCTGCTCTCTCCTTCCTCCCTCCTCTCTTCTCTCACTCTATTTCTTCCCATTTTAAATTCTTATTTTTTTTATATTTATTTATTATGTATACAATATTCTGTCTGTGTGTATGCCTGAAGGCCAGAAGAGGACGCCAGACCTCTTTACAGATGGTTGTGAGCCACCATGTGGTTGCTGGGAATTGAACTCAGGACCTTTGGAAGAGCAGGCAATGCTCTTAACCACTGAGCTATCTCTCCAGCCCCTAAATTCTTAATTTTTAAACATCTTTCTCTTTACTCATAGTCTTCAGATTGACTTTTTGCTTTAAGCCATCACGCCGCCTCACCCTAACGAACTCTATCAGGGAGAGCAAACTAGTGATTCTGTCCCCAGTAGAATGGGGAGTAAGTGAAAATCAAAAGACTTCAATAGCATTGCTGCTTAAAATGAGGCTGAGCTGAGACCCCAGCTCCATCCCCTTCAGGAGACCGGTCCCACATTCTCTCTGCCAGCACCAGTCCCACATTCTGATACACCTTGGGGAGACCCTGCAGCCCAGCCCCTCCCAGCAGCAGCTGAAGGCATCAGTGTGTTCCCAGGGGTGTGGCAGTGGGTCTACCAAGCCCCAGGGCTCTCCACTTCCCCAAAGCAGAGGCTCATTCAGAGAGCTCTCTCGGACTTCCAGTTTATTCTCTCCTTCCCTAGCACTGGGTCCATGGTCTTCACTTCACGTTCCCTCCCTAAACAACTTCCAAAATTGAGTGTTTTCCAACAGAGCACCAGGATGGTGAGACAAACCATCCCAAGCCTGACAGCATCTAGAAGAGCCTCTCGGCATTTAGGATAGGACAGGCGAAGGGATGCTTAGTATGCACACATCTCCGTGTGTGTGTGTGTGTGTGTGTGTGGTGTGCACACACGTGTGCCCGTGAGGACTTATATAGAGGCCAGAGGAGAATGTCTTCCTCTTTGTTCTCCATTATATGTAAGATTTTTATTACATTTAGTGTGTGTGTGTGTGTGTATGTGTTTATGTGTGTGTATGTGTTTATGTGTGTGTATGTGTTTATGTGTGTGTGTGTATGTGTTTATGTGTGTGTATGTGTTTATGTGTGTGTGTATGTGTTTATATGTGTGTGTGTGTATGTGTTTATGTGTGTGTATGTGTTTATGTGTGTGTGTATGTGTTTATGTGTGTGTGTGTGTGTGTGTTTATGTGTGTGTATGTGTTTATGTGTGTGTGTATGTGTTTATGTGTGTGTGTGTGTATGTGTTTATGTGTGTGTATGTGTTTATGTGTGTGTGTATGTGTTTATGTGTGTGTGTGTATGTGTTTATGTGTGTGTATGTGTTTATGTGTGTGTGTATGTGTTTATGTGTGTGTGTGTGTGTGTGTTTATGTGTGTGTGTATGTGTTTATGTGTGTGTGTGTGTGTGTGTGTTTATGTGTGTGTAGGCCTCATCGTGCCACAGTGTACATGTTGAGGTCATAGGCCAACTTGTGGTCACAGCATGTGTGCAGACAACAGAGAACAAATTAAACGAATCGGTTCTTCCTTCCCATCACTCGAGTCCTGGAGACTGAACTCAGCCCTCAGCCTTGTGGGAAGCATCTTCCCCAGCAGAGCCACCTTGCAGGCCCCTTCCTCTTATTTTCTACATTAATCTTTGAGATAGGGTCTTTTTAAAAAAATATTTGCTCTGATTGTTTTATGTATGTATGTATGTATGTATGTATGTATGTATGTATGTATTATGTTCTGCCTGTGTGTATGCTTGCAGGCCAGAAGAGGGCACCAGATCTCATTACTGATGTTTGTCATCCACCATGTGGTTGCTGGGAATTGAACTCAGGACCTTTGGAGGAGCAGGCAGTGCTCTTAACCACTGAACCATCTCTCCAGCCTGAGATAGGGTCTTAAGGTGAACCTAATGTGTGCTGTCTCAGCTAGTCTGGCTGGTCTTTGGGCTCTACCTGTTTCCAGTTCACCATGCTAGGGTTACAGGCATACGTGCGATGCCTGACTCCTGTGTAGTACTCCTGTTTGTGCAGCAAGTGCTCTTACCCAGTTAGCCATTTTCCTACCCCTTTTTATGTGATGTGTGTATGGTGTGTGCATGCATTTGTACACGGATGCTCACATTTGTGTGCACACACGCATGTGCATGTGTCTGCAGGCTAGAAGTGGACATCAGGGTTTTTTCTATCTATTTATTGAGGCAGCCTCTCTCAACTGAACCCACAGTTTGCTCTGGTAATCCTGCTTCTGTCTTCTAAGCTTTGGATTTAAGGGTGGGCATTTATGTGGATCCTGGGAATTCAAATTCTGTTCCCCACAGGGCTTGCTATCTCTCCAGTTCCTCCTCCCTCCTCCCCTTCTGTTTTGAGATATATCCCTCTGTAGGTCAGGTTAGCTTCAAACTCACAACAGTTCTGCTTCAAACTCCCATGAGCTGAAACTCCAGACATGAGCCCCGACACCTGGCTCACCATCTAACCCATTGAAGCAATGATTCCCCATAAGAACACTGAAGCACCTAAGAGGACTCCCAACACGTCCATTAGGAGCTTGTTCATTCCCTGGGGCATTCCTTATGCTCCAGCTGTCCTGTTAATATAATAAAGATTGAGCTACTCATGGGTCACTGAATTGCCATTTCAGCCTGGGGTACTGGGGTCACTACAGGTCACAAATGCAGAGTAATCCCTCTTTGAGTATCATGGAGCAGGATGCGAAAATGGATGATCCTGGGGCTGGGGAGATGGTTCAAAGGTAAGAGCACTCCCCAATAGCGAGGACCTGAATTGGAGCCCCAGAATTCATGTAAAAAGCCACCTAATGCTCATAACCCCAGTGCTGGACAGGTACAGAAAAAGGGAGGTTGCTGGCTGCTAGCCTCGCTGAAAAATAGTGAGCTCCCAGGTCCATTCACAAGGGAATAGGGCAGAGAATGATACATGTGCACACAACCACACACTTGTATACACACAGGCACAACACACACAATCACACACTTGTATACACACAGGCACAACACAAACACTGCACACACAATCACACACTTGTATACACACAGGCACAACACAAACACTGCACACACAATCACACACTTGTATACACACAGGCACAACACACATACTGCACACACAACCACACACTTGTATACACACAAGCACAACATACACAATCACACACAACCACACACTTGTATACACACTGGCAAAACACACACAATCACACACTTGTATACACACAGGCACAACACACACAATCACACACTTGTATACACACTGGCAAAACACACACAATCACACACTTGTATACACACTGGCACAACACACACACACTGCACGCATTTGTATACCACTGGGACAACATACACTGCACACAACCACACACTTTTTTTTGTTTGTTTTTTGAGACAAAGTTTCTCTGTGTGACAGTCCTGGCTGTCCTGGAACTCACTTTGTAAAACAGGCTGGCCTCGAACACACTGAGATCCACCTCCTGCCTCTGTCTCCCAAGTGCTAGGATTAGAGGTGTGTACCACCACCACCTGGCTTACAACCACACACTTGTATACACACAGGCACCACACACACACACACACACACACACACACACACATACACTGCCTTGCTGCCCGTCCATGCTCCCACTGGTCTCTGAACAGGCTGCTCACAGCCTTCTTGAGTCCTTTTCTGGCTCCAGTCCATCTATCAGGCATTCAGAGACATACTTTGCAAACAAAAACCTGACCATACCATTCCCTCTACTTCTTTTTTTTTTGTTTTTTTTTTTTGTTTTTTTGTTTTTTTGTTTTTCGAGACAGGGTTTCTCTGTGGCTTTGGAGCCTGTCCTGGAACTCCCTTTGTAGACCAGGCTGGTCTCGAACTCACAGAGATCCGCCTGCCTCTGCCTCCCGAGTGCTGGGATTAAAGGGGTGTGCCACCATCACCCGGCCCCTCTCATTCTTTAATTTTTTTTTAAAATGATTTTTTTTGAGATCCTTGAGTATCTCATTCTGTAGCCCAGGTTCACCTTGTGGCCATCCTCCTGCCTCAGTCATCTGAATGCTGGGATTACAAATGTGAGCCACCATGCCTGGGTTCAGAAATACTAAAACAATGTCCCAGTGGCCACCAAGGTTTGAATTCTTTAATGCGGCCTCCTAGTTTTTGAAAGCCTCTAGCTTCTGTCACTTGCTGCCTGTCAAGCTGTCACTCTGCAGACATCCCAGGCTCACTCCGACCCCAGGCCCTTTGTACAGACTGCCCCTACTTCTCAACTACCCTGTGACTGGTTATGTTCCCTTCATCGCCAATACACTATAGTCCCAAACACAGCTAAATTCCTTTTGTCCTGTGACTGGTGACCCCGGCTCATGGTGACTTCTCCTGGGGACTGAATCTGTGCTGCCCAGCCCTGAGCTTGGCATACAGAAGAGAAGCTTCGGGAAAAAGCAGTGGGTTCCCAGGCCCCCTCGGGGGATTTGCATGTCTCAGCCTGTTTCAGTTCTGGCCCCAGTTTGCCATCAGTTTGCTCTGAAGAGCCGGGCCTCAGTTTCCCTGTCTGAACAAGAGCTTCCCTCTTAACTAGGTAGAGTAACTCAGGCCAGTCACTCAGCTCTTGCAGTACATGACTGTGACCACCTGGTGACACTGCTGAGCCACAGCTAAACTTGGCAGATAGCTCAGAAAGCTGCACTACCCCTAGGGGGCGCTGGTAGGTGCAGTGTATCTGTAGAGTGTCCACAGGCTATTTCCACTGTACTAGGATCCCTACCTCCCTCCAACAGAGCTGGTCCCTCAGCCCAGAAGCCTCATGCATCTGCAGCCCAGCGAAGCCTTTCCCAGGCAGCAAGCAAAGGAAGAAGTGCAGGGGGTAAAAGAAGGAAGGCGGGCAGGTAGGGGTCCTGCTACCTCTTGGAATCCTTCCCATAGGTGGTCCTAGGTTCAAGGTCTCACCTGGGGTAACCCAAGGTTCCCATGCAGAGACAGCTCAGCCTGGCTCTGCTGTGACCTGGATTTTCCCCGTGCCTTCCGGGATGGGTGAAAAAAGCCCGTTTTCTCACCCAGGGTCTCTGGGAGAGTGACGGGAGGCAGAGGTTGCTCACATGGGAGAGTGAGGGTGGAGAGGGGGGAAGCAAGCATCTTGGAGAGGTAGCAGGGCCCCCACAAGTCATGGGCTACACGGAGGCAAGCTCGTGCAGGATGAGGACTACACGGCTGTATCCATCACTGACTCCATGACCACAAACAGGGAAGACATGGCTTGTGGCTGGTGCTGGCCACACTCTCAGGAACAACAGGAAGGCGCAACGACACCTCCTAAAGAGTACCCAGGCTGGCTTACTCGACCCTGCCTATTTTCCAAATGTCTCCCATGCCAGCAGTGGCTGCCAGGTTGTGTGTGCATCAGGGCATGATTCGTTCTAGGCTCATGCGTCTTTAGCAGAGTAGACTCTCGGGCCCCAAATCTGTTCATCAGTTATCTCCACTGACCTTGAAGGTCCCCAGGACCTCACATGCATCATAAGATTTTTGAGTGTGTAAATCGTAAGTTTCTGGGTCTCTCTTTCCGTTGCTCAATCCCTGCTAGGTATGTGACAGTTTCTAGGCCTCCCTTTCTCTTGTTCACAGTTTGCTTTGTAGCTGGTAGCGTCTAGATCTGCCTCATCTCATTTTCCACGGTTCTCTGTGCATATGACAATTTCTAGGTTTCCCTTGGGGACTGCTTGAAGTATGTGATAGTACCTATTACAGATCTTTTGGGTACAACAGTTAGGTCTCATGACCTCATTAACTATGCCAAACACATATATAATGGTTTCAAGGTTTCCCTTCCCATACTTCCTAGAGTCTCTATGTGTATGTTGGTTTCTAGGTCCCTGTCCTTTGTTCCATGAATCCTTTGTCCCCTGTGCTTCCCTTTTTTTGTTTCCTGACTTTCCTAAGGTCCTTTTCTGTTTGGGTGTATTCTGACTTCTCTTTCCCCTTCCTTCCGTAGACAACAGGACAAAGCCAAAACCTTTGACGGGGGGGAGGGGGGGACGGGGACCCTGGAAGTGGAGATGCAGTCTGGGTCACCGAAACTGCCCAGTAGAAACAGGCAGATCCTCCCGGGCTTGGAAAGGCAACAGAGGGTAGGTGGGTGAAGACAGAGACAGAGACAGAGAGCATGGGTGGGGGCCGCTGGGAGGGCTGGTCCTGCCTAGTGGGGGTACCAGGAGGGGTGTGGGAGCAGAGCTCCTGCAGGTATGTGACTAGACACACTCAATCCCAGGATCTACTGGGGACAGAATTTTTTTCCTGAGTACCCAGGGCATGGGAGGACAGGAGGAGGTAGGGTAGAGGAGGGGAAGATGGGGAGGGCAGGGGGAGATAAGGGAGGGCAAGAGAGGCAGCAGAGGGCAGAGAGAGGCAGGGGAGGGCAGGGGGAGGCAGGGTAAGCAGGGGGAGGCAGGGGAGGGCAGGGGGAGGCTGGAGGAGGCAGAGAAGGCAGGGGAGGGAGGCAGGGGATAGCAGGGAGAGGCAGGGGAGGGCAGGGGGAGGCAGGGGGAGGCAGGTGCAGGGATGCAGCTTACCCAGTGACTCTTCTCACCAGGGTCTCCTTTGGGGCCAGGTTCTCCCTGAAAGGAGAGTCAAAGTCAGAAGCAAGGAAGAGGGGGGTGGGGGGGCATGAGGGAGAAAAACTCAGAACAATTCAAAATGACAACAGGGGCAACTTCCCAGCATAGGTGGGTTAGATCCTTGGGGGAGAGAGGAGCGTGGCACCCAGGGAGCAAACGGCTGGCAGACCTGAGCAGACTTTCCTCACCTCCCATCACATCGGAGGCAGAGCTTGGAAACACCAGTGATTTTCCGTGAAATCGCAGAAAACCCAGGCCTTAAACTAGAGCACACAGGCCAGGGCTAGGGAAGCTTTCTAGGACCAAGAACAAAACCAAAATGGATTTTCTGTGATAAAACTGAATTTCTGAAAGAGTGAGGTGACGTCTGTAATTTAGCCATGGGCACTCAGCACTTCTCACAAGAACAGAACGGAGTTCTTCAGGCATTACCACTCTCCTCCAACAACGCATATGAGAGTCACTAGCTATGTGAAGAACAGGAAACGGGAAGCACATCTATGAGAGAAATCAGTCAACAAAATCAGATCCATAGCTGACTGGTGTTGTCAGCAGAAGACAGGTATTTACTATATCCACGACGGGCTGGAAAGCCGGCTCAGAGCTTGAGAGCACTGGCTGCTCTCGCACAGGACCCGGGTTAGATTCCCAGCACTCACACGGTGGAGCACAACCATCTGTAACTCTAGTCCCAGGGGATCCAACACCCTCTGCTGACCTCTGCAGGCACCAGGTACACATGTGGTGCACAGATATACATGCAGGCAAACACTCATACATATAAAATGAAATTTTAAAAAAATAATAAAAATCTATGACAGATATCTGGATGATCAGGATGATTCTGCAAACCTGAGCACCAGAGAGCCTAGTGGTTCGATTCCTGGAATCCACAGGGGAGGGAGAGAGATGCCTCCTGAAACCTGGCCTGTTTTCCATACATGCTCCCACCATCAAACACACACATAACAATAGTAAAGAAAATAAATAAATTAAAAATTTTTTTTAAAGATTTATTTTGTTTTCCAAGACAGGGTTTCTCCATAGCTTTGGAGCCTGTCCTAGAGATCCGTCTGCCTCTAGCTCCCGAGTGCTGGGATTAAAGGCGGGCACCACCACCACCCAACCAAAACTTTTTTTTTTTTAATATTTATTTATTTATTTATTTACTTATTTATTTATTATGTATACAATATTCTGTCTGTGTGTCTGCCTGTAGGCCAGAAGAGGGCATCAGATCTCATTTCAGATGGTTGTGAGCCACCATGTGGTTGCTGGGAATTGAACTCAGGACCTTTGGAAGAGCAGGCAATGCTCTTAACCGCTGAGCCATCTCTCCAGCCCCCAACCAAAACTTTTAAAGAGATATGTGCTCATGAGTGGTACACCAACAGAGGCCAGACGAGGGTGTTGGGTCCCCTGGAGCTGGAGTTGCAGGCAGTTGTGAACCACCTGACAGAAGTGCAGGGAATAGAACTTGGGTCCTCAGGAAGAGCAGTTATGCACACTTAACCACTGAGCAATCTCTTCAGTTCCCTAAAAAAAATGTTATAAAAGAATCATTTGGGGGGACTGGAGAGATGGCTCAGAGGTTAAGAGCACTGATTGCTCTTCCAGAGGTCCTGGGTTCTGTTGCGAATTAGGTGAGTACAATAAATAACAAGGCCAGCTCAAGAATAACAGTTATATTTTAATGGTTAAAAAGGGGAAACTCACATTACAAGAGTGGGAGGTCCGATGTCCTATCTGTCAGGCGGGCACCATGCAGAGAGAGCAAGCGCACCTGAGTCCTCCCCGTTTTTTCTCCCTGGGGGTCCAGGTCGCCACGCCCTTAATTATATGTGATTGATTGACAGAGTTTCCCCATCAGAGTTCAATTCCTAGCAACCACACGGTGGCTCACAGCCATCTTTTTTTTTGTAATATTTATTTATTTATTATGTATACAATATTCTGTCTGTGTGTATGCCTGAAGGCCAGAAGAGGGCATGAGACCTCATTACAGATGGTTGTGAACCACCATTGAACTCAGAATTGAACTCAGGACCTTTGGAAGAGTAGGCAATGCTCTTAACCACTGAGCCATCTCTCCAGCCCCCTCACAGCCATCTATAATAAGATCTGGTGCCCTCTTCTGGCATGCAAGTATACATGGAAGGAATGTTGTATACATAATAAATAAATAAATCTTAAAAAAAAAAAAGAATCAGTTGGGCTAGACATGGTGGTACATGCCTGTAATCCCAGCTTTTAGTAGGCTAAGACACAAGGATTGCCTGGTAGGAGTTCAAAGCCAGCCTGAGTTAGACAGTGAATTCCAGACCTATCTAAGCTACAATAGAGATCCTGTCTCAAGAGAAAAATAATATAAAAACAAACAAAACAAGAACTCAACTAGGATTGATATACTATGTGACAAGATGGAGAATGTGAAGAGACATAAATTGTTTATAAAAAATCAAAGGGTGTCGGGCAGTGGTGGCACACACCTTTAATCCCAGCACTAGGGAGACAGAGGCAGGTGGATCTCTGTGAGTTCAAGGCAGCCTGGTCTACAGAGTGAGTTCCAGGACAGGCTCCAAGGCTACACAGAGAAACCCTGTCTCAAAACAAAAACAAAAACAGATAAACAAAAAAGGAAATCCTGAAAATAAAGTCTCATGAGACGTGGGGCCAGTGAGACGCTTTAGCAGCTAATGCTACTGCCGCTAACCATGAACATCTGAGTTCAACCCTCTGGACCACAGAATGAGGAGAGAATCAACTATTGCAAGCTGTCCTCTGATCTTCACTTGTGCCATGGCATTCCTGTGTGTACACACGTACAAAATAAATAAAATGTGATAAAATATTTAAAATTCATTAATAGAGCTAACGAAAGATTGTACAAAAAAAATTAACCAATTTTGAAGAAAAGCTGACTTAAACTGAAGCGCAAGGGAAAAAAGCATGCTTTTAAACACTGGGCCGGGGAGACCTCCTGACGGGTATGTGCTCTGCAAGAATGCAGTCTGGGCCCCAGGCCATCACCGTGTGTAACTGCCGTTCCAGGCAAAGAAGACAGTGGGCCAAGAACATTTCCCATTTCCCCTCGACACATTGTTTTCCTTCAAATTTGATTTCAAAACAAAGCAAAATACACTTTTTTGTTGTTGTTTATTTGTTTTTTGAGACAGGGTTTCTCTGTAGCTTTGGTTCCTGTCCTGGAACTAGCTCTTGTAGACCAGGCTGGCCTCGAACTCACAGAGATCTGCCTGCCTTTGCCTCCCTAGTGCCGGATTAAAGGAGTGTGCCACCATGCCTGACAGGAAAACCTACTTTTAAAAATTATTCATTTTATGTGTATGGGTGTTCTGCCTACAGGCAGGTCTGTGAGCCAAATGCGTGCCTAGTGCCCAAAGAGACCAGAGAGGGATCTGGACCCTTGAGTTATAGATGGTTGTGAACTGCCATAGAACCTGGGTCCTCTGGAAGAGCAGCCAGTGATCTTAACCACAGGGTCATCTCTCCAGCCGCGGAGAAACTATACCTCCTGAAACTAATCTCTAGAGTTTCGTGAAAGTCTGAGCTGCCTGGGAAAGGGGATATTCATTCCCAAGTCCTCCTAGTTCCCAGAACACAGGGTAAGGCCCAACTGAGGGCATGTCAGAGAGCCCCCTGCCCAATACCTTAAAGACAGAACAGACATCGCAAACCACAACAAAAACTCCAGCTCCCCACAACAACCACTGCATTATTAAAACCTGTCTGCCAGTTTCTGGTTTGTCTACTTGTCTGTGTGTATGTGTGTGTGTTTGTCTGTAGCCCAGGCTGGCATGAAACCATTGATGCTCTGCCGGGGTCACAGGAGTACGGCGCCATGGCCAGCTTTACCGCAGTTTCTTTAACTCAGAGCATCATGGCCACTGCTCAACACAGAGACAAGGCACACTGGAACAGTTCAAAGACACTGAACACACATCAGAATAGAGTCACAGATGGCAGAAATGTTGGGATTACTTTAAAACCGACTGCTGCCGAGGGATGCAGTAGCACACATCTCCAACCCTGGGACTCAGGAGGCAGAGGCAGGAATAGTAGGAGTTCAAGGTCTTCCTCAGTGTGGTGGCTATGTTGGTTGTCAACTTGACTGCAGCTGAAATTAGCTCAAACCCCAGAATGGCTGGGCACTCCTGTGAGGGAGTTTTTGCTTAATTAAATCATTTGTAGTGGGAAGATCAACTACTAATCCAGATCTTTTTTTTTTTTTAAGATTTATTATGTATGCAGTGTTCTGCCTGCATTATGCCTGAAGGCCAGAAGAGGGCGCCAGATCTCATTACACATATGGTTGCTGGGAATTGAACCCAGGTCCTCTGGAAGAGCAGCCAGTGCTCTTAACCTCGGAGCCATCTCTCCAGCACTCATCAAGATCTCTCCATATGTATTCATTCTATAAATTCTGTAACTCTACAGCACTCTGACTAATAATACACTCAGCTACATAGTGAGTTCAAGACCAGCCTGTGATGAACTAAACTGTCTTAAAAAATATAACTTACTGACTAAAGTCATATAGTGTATGGGGTGGTGTAACAAGGAGGCAGAGGCAGGTGGATCTCTATGGATTTGGGGGGGGGGGTCAACCTGGTCCAAATAGCAAGTTACAGGCAGCCAGCCAGGACTACATGAGATTCTTTCTCTAAACCAAAAACAAACAAGCCCCCAGGCATATAAAGCCCTCAGTTTAAAGCACAAAGGGGTATGATGGGGTGCAGTAGAGGCTTGCCTTGCATGCATGAAGGGCTTCCTCCCTCTGCAGTGGCCTTAGGTGACCCATGAAAATGGCTCCCTACTCTCTCGACCTAGAATCTCCACAAAGCCACGCAAATCAAGAGGTTCCAATCTTTATGTTCATCTTAAGGACACTGTGAGGCTGCCCAGGCCCCCAGGGGTATACATAACCCAATGTTTTCCAGGCATCTGGAAGATGTCACCTTACAGAAATAGCGTGGGCCATT